GTGTAGTTTTAGGTGCTTCAGTCCTGCTAAACTTCCCAATCCCGTAATGTTTTACAGTCATCCACTTTTAGAATGCTCCAGCATTGGAGGTCAAGGCTTAATTTGTACGAATAGGCCAAATTCGCCATCTCAGGCTACCGAATCTATATAAATTCTGTCCAGATATGTGCTTACATAAATCACAGAACTTTCGATAATGAGTCTAAGATGTTAGTGCATATCCGTTCTTCCAATCATAAAATTCGGTTGCTTTTTCCTGGTTTAATTAATGGCTATGACCGCAGTACAATCGAAAATGTTCGGGACAATCTGTTCAAGAGCTCCACTTTGGTACTGAGAGATAGCAGTTGGTGGGCTTGGAGTTGGTCTCTGTTCCCTATTGTGCATTAGTTCTAGCCCCAGTCTTTCACGCGCTAACGGTTTTATACCATTGAGTGGACTTTAGAACACGCCCCTCCTCCTTCACCGCAACTTCGCTCAACGTCCAACCATTCGCCTTCCTCCCCCCCCTCTGAAAAAAATTACTCCGCAAAAAATTACTCCAAACAAAGCGTTATAAATATTTTAATTCTGGGTGAATATAGTCTTTACTGTCCGTTTCCTTTCTAACCGCTCAGCCCTTGGACTATGAATACATATTCCTGGACGTTATGGGTTTTGATAGAGGGACGATCGCTGACCGTGTTATGGTCGCACTCGTCCCCCTGTGCTTTAGGTCTCAGCGGGTGTGTGGTATAGCTGGCTGACGACGGCTAACAGGGCAGAAATGGCCATTTCTGTCCTCCTTGTCTTCATAGGTGACGTTATTCAGTTTGCGTCTTATTCTCCTTGACGATAAACCCTTTCATTTAGAAGCTGCTGCTTCTCGGGGTTGTTTAATGGTCACCTTTTGAACCTAGTCACCTCTGAACCTAGCCCTCCTAGCTCCAACCCTAACACTAGCCCTCGTGGCCTAACCTTGGCACTGACACTAGCACTAATCGCCCTAACCCTAATCATTACCACCCTAACCCTAACGCTAACCGAACTCCGATTCCGGCCCCGTGGAATTTGAAGCATGACAATCCGTGATACGGGGATGCCCATATTTCCCTTTACAACCTCCTTGTTTGACGTGAAAATTTCCGAATACACATATTCTGAAAAACAAGGGACTTCAGTCCAGCCATTGTCTGCTTTCATCTCTTGGTTGACCGTTTTTTCCTCCTGATAATTCTCACTCCGGACACTGAGTTTACATCTTGCGAAGATGTATGAGCACAGGTGTTCTGTATGGCACCAATCTTTGTGAAAGAATTTTTACCTCTCGCTCGCTTTCTATGCTTACCGCGTGTTTGCTATTCCAAAAAAGTCAGTCACCGGACATTCAGTACAGCACTCGTTCGTATTTCAAGCACTGTTTACCCATCTCGCATGCTGTTACACGCCTAGAGTTTTTGAGAATATACACCTTCTGTAGTACACGTCTCCAGATCCGCTCGGTTCCATTACAGTTATCTCGTGTAGCGTGGTTGCCACGTTCGGTATTTGGAGAAGCGCTCTCAGGATGAAGTCTAGGCCGCGCATCTGCTCATTCACAGGAAAGGTTCGACAAACTGGTCAGTGAGTCTGCCGACCGGTTTCCCATTTAGTCGCGTATAAGCCCCAGCGTCCTTGCTCAGCAATGATACAAACTCGCAAATTTTCCTACACTTACAAATACGTCTGAATTTCTTTGTAAATTTCAATCTGAATTCCATAATCAGATAGACCTTCTAGTGGGTTCGGTCCCTTCGAATTTGTTCACGTTAGCCTACATCTAGGTAAGTTTTGCGAGGTCTTAGAACTACAATAAATTTTCGGAGGCTCTTTTCCCCGATATGCGGTGTTTAATCATGCACAAAGTTCAGTGCTGCGCATTGGTCAGTTGCTTTCAACCCTCCTGGGAATCAGAGCGTTAAAGTCGGACAGGTTACACTTGATCGGCGTCTGCACAGTCTACGTGTACCAGTCTGCCTTGTAACCAGGAGGTGGCTATCGCGGGTTAGTACTGACAAAGTTTGAAGTGGGCATTGGACAAGAAGATTTGCAAAACTGGATGGAGCGTGATTCCTGCCTAGTCAAATATTCAAGGCAAGTTCCAGTCTAGTTGATTGATTCCGTTCATAAGGGGACTAAAAGATAAAAATCACTGCGTCAGTCGACATGAAGACAGCAACTCGGGCACGATGGGTCTGGTACTGACAGAATCTTATACAGACTATAGAAATTTTATTAAGATAACACCCTGATGAGAACAACATCAGTTTGATGCCTACAGATTCCATACAGCCGCTTAACTAGCCATAACTCAAGAAATCTGTTCAATCAGCCTCTGCCGAGGATGTGTAAAATGGGATCCATAAGAAAAGGAGCGAACGGTGGGACACGGGCATAGCAGCCTGTCCTGCGATACAGGTGACCTCGTGATAAATTTCAGGAAGAGTACTTATACCCATGTCCTCACCCCAGCACTACCCCAACCCCACATTAACCCTTATCCAGCCCTAGTCACAATCTCCCTGGAATCTACCGCAGGACCACCTGTATTACGGGAGGGTTTCCTGACCCTGTGTCCTACCGAATCCGACAATTTTGTGACTGGATTTTGGAATCAACAACATCCGTGAAATCGGAAGTAGGATGGGATTTAGGGTATAGATCTCTTCAAATATACGGCTACACTTCTTCGGTTACTTGACTGATCTCTCCTGAAAATACAACTCCATTCGTTGAAGTGTCAAAGGCTTAACTGGTCGCGTTGGTCCACTTTTTATTGATTTTCACAGTACGTGTATTCGTATAGTCTGACAACCCCTTGAATGAAGTCTGAGAGCATGTTACGAAGGCCGCATACACTTGTTAATAAAGATCTCTGACCGCCTACTGAGCTGGAGTTTGTGATTTCGCCACGAGTACACAAATCTTCGCCTGGGCACTTGGTAATCTGGGTTCAGGCGAAGATTGTAACCAAGGGGGATTACCCAAGGATCTAGGACGTCCTTTTCGACTGAAATGCCCACATTCTGTTCTTGTTGATGATGATTTTGTTGTTGATGATGATGTTGTTGTTGTTGTTTATGCTTTCTTCTGAACCTTCTAAGCTGACACTAACAACCCTGTGGTAGAAAGGTCATTTTTCGATAATCTGGACTAGCATGAATTTTACTTCAACAAAACTCTTAAGGGCCCGACGGGCTGCACTTCCGCCGGCCTCACAGTATTCAGAAGTACGGCCCACTATCAACTCAACTTAATTCACTATGACTTAACTTGAAACTTTCTTTTCTAGATATAGCACTGATGGTATCTGAACAACAGGATCACGGGCAAGGCAAACTATATCGAATTCAGATTAGCAAAGTTAAAAAATAGGAGGCTTGCAAAGGTACCAGCAGGTCAGACATTTCGCCTGTGTATTACACCCTAGTAGAGGTAGTTTAGATGTTCTATAAAAACGGAGAAAATCCTCAGCACCGCGGCTGAAAAAGGATCCTCTCGGAATGAAACGAACGGACCGTAAGCAGACCGAACAAACCCACTAAGTAGATGCGTGGCCCTCACTTCTTGTGGTTGGAATCTTACTCGATCCCACTCAGCCGGCCCACCAGCTGGGCTGCTGGCAAACGTTGTGCCAGAGTACACATACCATATATGGTACATGGAAAGCTCCATAAGGTACTAAAATGCCAGACACGGAGAGCAGTTTACAGGTCATTACCCATCATCAGCATGCCATAGACCTGTCTTGTGCCTTAAGAAGTGACAACCGGTAACGGCACAACAGTCATCGTCGTCAGCAGCTCAGCTGGCGGACAGACGGAACGGGCTTGAGTAAGGTTCTAACCAAAACCGGTGAGGGTCACGCGGCGATTTGCGAAAGAGGAAGGACTGTTTAATGAGCTGTTGCATTTTTTTCGAGTATCGAATTTGTCCGTAGGTTCTGAAAATTGCGATTTATATCTTTGGGTCCGCCGAAATAAACGAGAGGAGGATGCTTGGTATGCGACAAAAATTTCCCTCTAACCAAAAACAAGTAACATTTCCGACGAACCTGCTTCAGGCGTTGACAAAATCTAGACCAAGCCTCAGATGTATGCCTTCTGGATGTATATTCTCCACCCCAAATTCCAGGAAGGATAATACTGGCATCCTTCACTTACCGGTGGAAACATCAAATGAAATTCCGTGTGAAGTAATAACTGATAATTGAAGCTGCCAGGACACAGACTTAGCAAAACGTAACCCCACCGCTATGCATACTGCAAATGGATAAGGGACCGTGTTTGATATAATTCTTAATATCAGAATTTGGATCACTCAAGCTTTCGAAATAATCATGTCATGCTAGTACCCGCCCTCCTTTTTAATATGAAATAATTGTGAAAGTATGGCAATAGCTGCATAAATCATCAAAAGATTCATTTGAACCCAACTGTAAAAAGCTCAGCGACCTCGGTGGGATTCGAAGGCTTGTGTGCAGCCAAAGCTCTAGCCACCTGAACGACGAGTTCCCACCGGGAGCCGTGAGTTTTATCACATTTGGCTTTCGAATCCCGAAACAGGCATGTTCGGCCACGCGATTATAGCACTCTCCTTTCAACGTCGTCCCTTGCAAATGCCATTCCAATACTTAGGACAAGGTTTTTTAAATCGGGCTTTGGCAGGGGATGACTAACTTCAAGAAAAAAATCGACAAAGCAAGCAGGTGGGTGCGGGGTCCTTTCGTTAGCTATATTTTGCGACATGAGAGCATGATGGGGGGAGGGGGGTATGAACTGCCCGCTGACAGGGCAGCAAAGGATTCGTGCTAGTGCGAAATCGGACATTAGTGTCCTTAAAACGGATCACTCGGATTCAACGTGAGGAAACCGAGCAAAGATAAAATCATTATCTGCTGATGGTTCGGCCATCAAAAGCGACAACCTCCAGTGTTGCCTTATGAGGTAGGGCAGGGGAATTTTGTTTATGGCGAAACAGGAATGCGCCGAATCCACCTGACCTCCTCCTCCTCCTCCTCCTCCTCCTCCTCCTCTACGCTGCGTACTCCGGCGGCAATACAAAGTCAAAACAAGGAAGGTTGGAAGCGAGCACAGGGGCTGACAAGTCGGGAAGCCCGTCGACCCGTGCCACGCACGACCCTGCCCACGCCTGCATCTCGCACAGGCGGGAGCGCTACGGAGACTGCATTAAGAAGGAAGCATCGTTGTTCGTCTCAAAGTTCTGAGAAGGCCCGCCTCACCCCGTCGATTAGCAACCTTCTTGGCGAGGCCTCTTAGCGCGCTGCGATAGGTTCAAGCACGTCGGACTCGATATAGGGATGGGATCCTCAATACAGCTCTCGTCCTGTCTTAATTCTACTATGTGCCAGTCAACTGGTTGGGCCTGTTAAATAAATTGTGAGAGATCAGGCACAGTGGCTGACGCAGAGTGAGGTCGCCATCTATCACGCGTCACATGTGCTAACCGCGTGAATGATGTGCAGTGTGTTTTTAATGGCCGTCGTGTTTACCCGTGCGACCGATTAGACCCGTGTGCAACCTAAGTGCGCTTACGGGTGCAGGTAAGGTGGACGTTGTGAGTGGGACTTGACTGTGTTGTTTTGCTGGAAGTTTTTATGCACGCGCATGTGACCGGATAGGTCTGTCGAAAGGCGACGGTTCGACAACGAGGGGCTTCCAAACCAAGAATTGGAAAGGCAGAATCAGCAAAATTATGTTTACTATAGCTTGGAGAGCACAGGCGTCTCGGAAGGCAGCTGCGGCAATTGTTTGCTCAAGCTGGGCGCCAACTGTCGATGTGTTTGCTATCGCCAGCTGTAAGCTTGCGCCTGAGCCATGCCCGGCTGTCAGTCACAGAAGACCAAAATATCGATTGGCGTTAGTACGCCGGGAGACGGACGGCTGAGTCATACACGGCACAAGCATTCAACCACCAAGGCAGTTAGGTCGCTGTAGTCAGGCCGAAAAGATCGCCACAAGCCCATGTAATGGCTGAATGTGAGGTTAGAATGTGAGCAGGGAAGGCAAGTGTGGGTGGTGTAGATTAACGCCCCATGAGCCAATCTTCTGTCGCACCGCGATAAAATCACAAGGCCCCAAATAGGCCAGGGCAAGACCCTACTTCGTAGCCGTACCTGCTAGGGGTTGGGATTAGGGATCAGGGGTAAGAGTAAGAGGTTAAGAATATGGGTTATGTTTATGGGTTGGGGTTTAGGGTTAGAGGTTATGGGTTAGGGATTAGGCTGGGGCTTGTCTACTGCAAGTACGGCTACGAATTAAGATTTGATCCAGGTCAGTGTGTAATTTGAATGAGTTCTCGCAATGCCGATGTCAGATGTAGTCGAGCATCAGTCTCCTTAGAATTGGGGCGATGAGAGCCGGCAAAGTCCCAAGGCAGAACGAAGCGAGTGAGTTCCGTAACGCAATCAGTACGCGCCCTCATACCATCAATAATAATAATAGCAGTAATAACGGTTTGATTGTTAAACATCCGGATGTGTCTTAGATTTGAACTCGCCTGGTACGCGAGTTTACCTACTGATATGACAAGAGTTTCGTCAACTTTGATATTAAGTTGTAGTCATTAATTGGCGCCGATTAGCACCCCACACAAACACACAACACTGGGCCGACTGCGAGGTCCAAGTTATCCCGCCGGTTGGCAACCTTCCAAGGCAGGGCTTTTAGCGCACAATGAGAGCTTCAGGCGCGTCAGACTATTTATGGTGAGGAAAATCCGCTGGGTCGTCGACCTCACTCTCCCCATTCCCACACCCCAGCCACTGTCTGAGTTGGTCAGTTGACTGATGCGGAAAATGTGCGCGGTCGCTGACATATCTAGTGACCTTGTCTGCGCGCGCCACATACACGACCTGGCCCCCTAAACACAAGCACCAGGATTTCACACAACGGGGGTTAAGCGACATACACCTCACATGCGTGAGCGTGCCGTAGGTCACGTTAAGAGGGAGCCGCTTCAGCATGGTTCTCAGCCCACCAGTCTACCACTCCACACAAACACACACACACAACTGGGCTGACTACGTGAACCGAGTTTGGGCGTCAGTCAGCAGCCTTCCACGTCACAACGCTTGACGCGTCGTGATAGCCTCAGGCTCGAACCACACCTGCAGCAAGGAAGCAGCATGGAGACGGAGCCGAGAAGCCCGTTTCCCACTTGCGTGGGAGGTGGCATTTGGATGCTTGTAGTGAGTGATGATATTGTGTGATGCAGGTGTTGATAGAGATGATGTGATGGTATGGTTTAGCCGGCGGTCGCCTACCGCAGGTCTTCACGAATACAGATGTGGCCAGCTGGTCCATGCGGCGGGCGAATGTGCGGGTGTAGTGAGGCAGTTGAGGCGGATTCATCTGGTGTATGTTGGCGTTCTAGGGCACTGGTTCGTCAGTCTCTGTGCGATGGTTTTGCAAGTGACCGACCAGGCCGATGCCTGAGGTGAATGTACGGGGACAGTGTGGACAGGAAAAGCCGGCGGTGTCAGTGTCGGTTTCGGAGATGGTGGCAGTCGTGGAGCTGCTGATGGTGGACCCGCTGGGCGGCGGGCCGTGGGTCATGCTAGGCATGGTGGATGTTCGGGAGATGCTAGATGTGTCGAGACTGCGGTCAATTCCGCTCTCGTGGACACGGCTGTGACCGAATAGACTTGTCGAATGTTGTGTGGTCGACAAGATAAAGATTCCCAATCAAAAGTCAGAGAAGACGGTTTGGGTTGGACAACCTTTACTGCCTGAGGAGGTGCGTACACAAGGGCTCTGTAGGCAGTCGCCGCGAGCGCGCTCCAAGCAAGCTGTTGTCTGTGTCGGCCTTCGGGGTGTTGTGTCAGCGCGTGTGTGCGCCCTTCGTTGTCTCCACGTCCGCCAGCCGATCAGAGTGGGGACAGCCTTGATTGGCTTCGAGCACTCGCGAGGCTAGTGACGAGCCTCGCGCGCCCCAGCAGCGTATCGACAAGGAGTGTGAGGCGGACAGGACGGCACACAGACTCATGCTGTGAGTGAATGTGCGTGGACAGTGCGGACCGTGGAGGCGAATGCGGCGAGTGCGGGTTGGTGTTCCAGGCACTGGTTCGCCAGTCTCTGCGCCATGAGTTCGCAAGTGACCGACCAGACCGGTGTGATAGGAAGGTACGGCCTCAACGAGAACAGGTGTGGATTGCGAGGAGCGCACAGGTGAACCCTGTTTCCAACCCCAAGGTCGGTGGGTCAAATGGTCGAGCAATCATCACACCAGCATCCGACACACGTTATGGAATTCTAGCAATTAACGAAGCGAATTTCCGTCATCAAACAGTCATCACACTTTCCCTGATGAAGGTGGGGGGGGGGCGTGAATATTCATAGGTATGCGGTAGCATGACGACTGCATCTTATAAATACTGCAGCCCCTTGTGCATGTACCACACGTATCTGATATTGTCTTTGATGATGGATTTGAGCAGGAATCCCAAACGTCAGTCGAATAAGGTTCTTGTCCCAGCGATCGTGTCTCCTTCACGACTACTTCCCGGGACTCGTCTCTCCGCTTCTATTAGGTGTGGATTGAGTCCACATCACTGGGTTTAATGGTGGTGGAACTGATATTTTTCGGTATGTCAGAATTGTGTGCAGTGGTGGCGGGTACCGGAGCCGCCGTAGGGGATGTTGAGACAATGGAGGAGGAGGAGGAGGAGGAGGAGGAGGAGGAGGAAGCGAAGGTTGGTAGTGGGGGTTCGGGAGTGCGGTCAGTGTTAGTTGTCGGCGTGGGGGACGAGGAAAATTTTGACGGGAGGGACAGCGGATGATGCAGCCCCGGGGCTGCAATTGGTGCGAAGGCGTCCTATAAGACTGATTGTTGCGCAGAACGTTCTCTGGCAGCGTGAGCAGGTCGGGGACGGTTGAGCGTTGCGGGGCGGGCGCAGATGAGATTTGCGAGTCTCGCGTTTGGCTTTGGCGGCGGTGATTCGACTGGCTTCGCAGATCGCTGCGCGTTTCTTCACTGTGTTCCAGATCGACCGGTCTCGAGCGAGGTCTTCCTAGTTAGTTGGGTTGATCTGCAGATGCTTCAGGGTGTCCTTGTAGCGACAGACTTGGCTTTTTTGTCGGCAGAACTCGTGGCTACATCTCCGTAGAAGAGTCGTTTGGGCAGCCGCTTGTTGTCCATCCGCACGAGGTGGCCGCTCCAGCACAGTTGCAGCTGCCTCAGCATAGCGTAGATGCCGAGGATTCCCGTCCGCTTCAGTACATCCGTGTCCAAAATCCGGTCCTGTCATCTTAACCTCAGTATCCGTTGAAGACAGCTGAGGCGGTAATCATTGAGCTTTCGCGCCTAACTCTTGTACACTGTCCAGGTCTCCGCTCCATACAACAGCGCCGGCAGGATGACCGTCTTGTACATCTTCAGTTTGGTGTTGCGGTGGACACCGTGGCGATTGCAGACTGTGCTTTCCAGACGGCCGAAGACTTGGCTGACTTTGGAAGTCCGGCAGGCCACTTTATCGTCGATCTTGGTGGTGCGGGAAAGGGCTCTGTCCAGGGAAATTAAGTTGTCTACGGCTTGCAGCTGGGCGCCGTTCACGTTGATTTGAGGTGCGACGTAGTCAGCGTCGGGTGGCGATTGATACATAACCACCGTTTTCGCCGTGTCCATGACCAGGCGGAAGTTTTCGCAGGCGGCAGAGAAGAGATCCATGCTCCTTTGTATGTCCCCTTTCGAGGTGGCGTTGAGGGCACAGCCGTTGGCGGAGAGACGTTCATAGACCATCTTTGAGTATACCCCTACATTTGTGGGGTGTATAAGTGTCCAGTCGTGGGTTCACGTGACGTTCGTTGTAGGTCGCTCACTTGCTTGCATGTGTAGACTACGCCTAGCGTCCATTTGCTGGCACCAAACTCTCACACGTGGCTCCCCGAAGCTAGGCTCTGCTTAGCGCCCACACCCCGGTAACCGCCTCGACCGACGGTCTAAACCAGGTGAGGGTAGCCGTGCGTGCATCTCAGCACACGGTAATCTCGACCCCGCTGGCCGGATGGATCACGGCCTTGGTATCTCCGAAACGATACTCCATCTGCAACACCACAGGTGGCTACAAGGTAAATAAGCCCTCACTTAAACCAAAATTCTTCTGCCGTCTTTAATTTGTTTGTTCTTTCTTGCTTGCTTTCTGTCTGCTTGTTTGTGTTTGCCCTTGTATGCTAAACGCCGTTCCGTCGAAATTCCACTGTCGGTATTTGTTTTTGCTTGCTCTCACTTGGTTGCCCCTCGTCTGTTTGTTTCTGTTTGTATTTGCTCTAAGCTAAATACTGTTCTGTTGAATTTGTCTGCTCACCGATTGTACTTCAGCAACTAGTTCGCTTAGAGAGCGACGAGAAAGCTCTGCTTCCCGTCTCCCTAACCTTCCCCTCTCCCTCCCTCCCTGCAAGCCCTACTGCGATGTGGTAGGCATGCACAGGCTAACTCGGGTCCTTCTTCCACTAAACGAAAGCCCTGGGAGCCGTCTTGGACAACTGAGAAGCCCTATTTAGGAGGAGCACGGTTCACGCCCGTGAGGGGAAAGAGGCTATAAAAGGTGCCCTAAACAAATGCTGGGCACCCACGCCGTCTGCAGGTAGACCGTGACCGCAGACGCCAAACTCACAGTCGAAACAATCAAATCAGCAGCAACACACTCTCTCTTCCTCCTCCTCCTCCTTCTCGCCGCCCCACACACCAGACTGATAGGGTGAGTCCGATCACATTGTTAGCCTGGACTGTTCGTTCCCTTTTAGAAAACGCGAGAAGCAACCGATCGGAACGGGGGCGGAGCTAATGGCTTGGAAACCGACGCGCTACAAAGTGGACATAACTGCACTCAGCGAGACCCGGTTCTCCGAACAAGACCAACTGGAGGACGTGGGTGCCGGCTACACCTTCTTCTGGGGCGGCCGTCCCAGGGCAGAGCAAGGGGACGTGGGCGCCGCCTTCGCCATTCGAAACGACGTCGTGGGACGACTTTCCTGTCTGCCGCAGATTATCAACGATCGCCTGATGAGCCTCCGCCTGCCTCTCCAGGGAGGCAAATTCGCCACCATCATCAGCGCCTACGCTCAGCCGATGACCAGCCCTGACGAGGCGAGGAACAAATTCTACGAGGACCTGCACCCCCTCCTGGCGTCTGTGTCGAAGGCGGATAAGTTGATTGTCCTTGATGAATTTAACGCCTGTGTTGGCACATACCTTGCTGGCTGAAGAGTACTGTTTGTTCCCGTGGTCTGGACGGTTCCAATGACGATGGCCTGCTCATCCTACGAACCTATGCCGAACATCATCCCATCCTGACCAATACCTTCCGCCTACCGACGCGAGGAAAGTCAACCTGGATGCACCCTAATTCGCGACATTGGCACCTGCTGGACTATTTCCGTGTCCGGAAGCGAGACCAGCGGGACGTGCTGGTGACAATGGCGATTTCGGGTGCTGAAGGATGGACCGACCATCCTCTCGTGGTCTCGAAGATGCGGATTCGCGCACAGCCTCGCAGGAGACCACAAGGTAGGCGACCCCCAAGTAAGATGAGTGTTGCTTTGTTGTTTTTGTCCGTTAACCATATCTATTTCAGCAATGAGTTAGCTCAACGGCTAGCCAACCTTCCGGTCGCCGCCGCCGCCGATGAGAACGTCTCCGTGGAGAATCGATGGTGTCAACTGCGGGGCACAATCCAATCGACGGCCTTGGCTGTCCTCGGTTGCGCACGTCGTCAACATCAGGACTAGTTCGATGGCAACGACATCGCCATCAGCAACCTGCTCATCGAGAAGAACTGCCTGCACAGAGCCTACACCACCCACACCGCCGACGACAACTGAGCAGCCTTCTATCGTAGCTGTCAACTTGTGCAACAGCGGCTCCGCGAGATGCAGGACGCTTGGACGGTTCGCAAGGCCGAGAATATCCAAGGGTACGTGGACCGTAGTGCATGGAAGAGATTCTTCTCTGCGATCAAAGCTGTCCCAGGACTTTCGGCCATCGCGTGGGCCTGCCTGGCCATATGCGCATACATAAAAACCTCCAGTAAAACAACGCGGCCTAGACCACGCACAACCTCTCCCCCAACCCGAGCACACCTTAAGTCAAACACAGACTCACCCCATACCGAGCATGTACGACACCTCTTTGACACATCACACTTCACTCCGGCAGCATACACGCGACCAACGTTCCCAGCGCCGGTGCTGCGGGTGAAGGTGCGCATGCGTGTTCCTGTTCCTCTGTGTTTACCGCGTCCAACAGAAAACTCGTCCTCCTCCGTCAACCCTCTTAAATCACCAACCCCCCCCACCCATACCCGCTCAATCTCCCGATCGTTTGGCTGCTCATGCTCTCGA